TCATGTATTCTGCTCCTTCATTACTTTGTCACTAGATTGTGTGAACTGCAACAGAGTGGCATGTTGGCATCTCCCGCTGGATAAGCCTTTTGCCAGATTAGTTTGGATGTCACTAATCAGACTGATTTCCCAGCCATGGGCCCTCACAGCCACTGAATACTTCCTTGTTGCACATACAGTGATATCTCTTTACTGGATTATGGCTTAATTTCCTAAATTCTCTCCTGGCTTCTTCTCCTGCCTCTCTTTACTTCAGCCTGTTTTCCACACCAACAGCCAGGTTGCTCATGATAAAATATCATGATTTATCATGTCTCCTTTTTCTCAAAAACCTCTCAGATTCTGGTTTTCTGCAAATTTTGCCTGCTTTCATTCTTAAAATGGCCTAAAATACCTCATCCAACATGGCCCCTCTCCACACCATTCTCAGCTGTCCTCCCCTTATTCACCCTCTCCTGGCAAGATGAAGGCACAGGGGAAGGCCAGTGGGAACATGTAGGATAGCACTGGGCCTTGTGATTATCTGATGTTTCAAACTCCTGGTGGACCCACACCCTGTATTGGAGCACAAATAATCATGTGATCTATGCATGTTCTGTGTTGTGTGCACACATGTGAGTGTGTGTCTGCCAGCATGTGTGGAGTCTGCAGCTTAATGGACTGCTTTTGTCTGGACTGTGTCCAGGAGAGGATGTGATGCCCTTGGGGACTAGTCCTTTGAAGCTGATTTGTTGTGGCGGCTTGTTCAGCCATTAAAAACAATGGCTTCTGCTGTTCCTAAGTGGGTCGTGCAGTGAGGGAAGGCCATAGAGGTGAGGAAAGGAGTTGTGTCCCTCATTCAATCTGTCTCCCTTCCTAATACCAATTGTGTGTGTGTGTGTGTGTGTGTGTGTATGTGTGTATGTGTGTATGTGTGTGTGTGTGTGTGTGTGTGTGTGTGTGTGTGTTAACAGTTAATGGCTAGCAGGAGGTCACAGAGCAGATCTAGCCTCCCAGTTCTTTTCTAAAATATGTTTTTATTGATTTGAGAGAGAGAGGAAGGGAGAGGGAGAGAGAGAAACATTGATCAATCCACTGCCGCCTGCCAGCCCCATATATCTAACTCCACTGGGTGCTGGGTAGCACTGGCTCCCTGACATGTGTTGGTGATGTTGGAAAAAGTGTGTCATTGCATGAATGTGTCTGTCACATCACTGTCCAGATTTCTGATCTTGGGGTGTTCCTTACCGATTTAGTGACATGGGGCTGTTTATATTTAGTAAACTAGTTTCCTTTAGGTTAGGGGTGGGGAACCTTTTCTCTGCCAGGGGCCATTTGAATATTTATAACATAATTCTCAGGCCATATAAAACTATCAACTTAAAAAAATAGCCTGCTATATTTAGTCAAGCATTTAATTAACTCACTCCTAAAGCCTTGGCAGGGCCAGACCAACTTCTTAAGTGCTTGTAAGTTTGTGCCTTTTTATCTGTGTCATCTTAGTGCTGTTTTTATAAGGTGGAGATAAATACATGCTAATTTTTCCACTTTTAGTGAGAGGTTTCTTCCACCTTTTTATCTGTGTCATCTTAGTGCTGTTTTTATAAGGTGGAGATAAATACATGCTAATTTTTCCACTTTTAGTGAGAGGCCATACCACCCATAGGACAGATGTTCCTCACCCCTGCTTTAGATGTTTCTAAAATGATGTTAATTGTCCTTTGGTTAAAATACATTCATTTCTGGTTTGGTTGCATTGGTATCAGAGATTGCTGTGTATACTATTTCTGTTGTATGTAACTTATTGAGGGAATAATCCTTGTCTGCTAGCATTTTGAAATCCTTTTGAGAGAAGGGGGCAAGAGATCTCATTGTTGGTCTGTTTTCTTACGTATAGCATCCTGGTTTTAATCTCGGCATTTTCCTATCTTAAGAATTGCTAGTTGTCATACCCTGAGTGAGCCACCCTCTTCAGAGGAAAACCTCCAGTTGTCCATGGGAAAAGAAGAGTACTCACCTAGGAATTAGGATTTCTGGGGGCCTGAAACTTCCTTCCAGAAAATGTAAATTATGATTTCTCTTTTTATTCCCTGACCTCCACATCTTACCTTGAGTGTGCCACGTACCAGCCTTTTAGAATCCATGATGTAAACCAGGGTTTCCTAGTGGCTTCTTCCTTACAGGTTTAGGTTCATCGCTCTTTGCTTGGTCATATTAGTCACCACTTACTCATCTACTGTCCAGATTCCAGGGTTGTGTTGACAGAACTTGCTGGTTGTTTTCAATTCTCCTAACTTCTTAAGTGCTTGTAAGTTTGTGCCTTTTTATCTGTGTCATCTTAGTGCTGTTTTTATAAGGTGGAAATAAATACATGCTAATTTTTCCACTTTTAGTGAGAGGTTTCTTCCATTGCTTAAAAAAAACAAAAAACACCTTTTAAGTATTTATTACCTTTAGTTTTTTTAGTTGAGTATTTTCCACATACCATAAAATTCACACTTTTAAAGTGTACATTTTAGTAGTTTCTAAATATTTACAAAGTTGGGCACCTATTGCCACTATCTAATTACAGAACATGTTCATCACCCAGAAAGAAACTTCATGCTCATTATTAGCTACTCCCATTTCCCTCTTTCCTCAGCCTTGGGAACCACTAGTCCACTTTTTGTCTCTGGATCACTTGCTCTGCATATTTCATGTAAATGGGATGAGACAATTTTTCTCTGGCTTCTTTCCCTCAGCATAATGTTTTCAAGGTTCATCCATATTGATATATCAGTCCTTCATTTCTTTTTTGTTGCTAAATAATATTTTATTGTATGGATATGCCACATTTTATTTATTCATTAATTAATTGGTTGGACATTGGGTTTTTCCACTTTTTGGCTATTATGAATAATGCTGCTGTGAATATTCATGTACACGTTTTTGTGTGCACATATCTTCTCGTGTGCACATATCTTCTATACTTAGGAGTAGAATTGTCGGTCATATGGTAACTGGATTTATTTTTTGTGATACTGCCAAACTGTTTTCCAAAGTGACTATACCATATTATATTTGCACCTGCAATGTATGAGAATTCCAGGTACCCCATATCCTTGCTGACGCTTGTTATTTTCTCTTTTTTTTTTTTTTAAATTCCTCTTACATTTTGAGTTAATGTTTGTATATGGTATAAGGTAAAGGTCCAAGTTCATTCTTTTGCATGTGGATACCCAGTTTTCCCACCACTATATGTTACAAAGACTGATCTTTCCCCCATTGAATTGTCTTAGCCCCATGTTAAAAATTCTTCCATTGTTTTCTGGTGAATTCTCACTTATTGACCTTAGGCCTAACTAAACAAGCAAGGCTTCTTTCATCCTCAATCAGTAACTTTTTGAACATTTGATTGCACTGTGTATGACTGTCTTCCCAAGTGAAATGCTGTGTGCCATATGAAAGGGAGGTTTAACTCAGTGTTATAGCCCAGTGCACAAAATTAGTGCATGGGTATGGTCCCTAGGCATGGATGACGATCAAAGTGCGAGCATCTGGCATGGAAGAGCAGGTACCAGCTGACTTCTGGGCCCTGGGCAACACCTGGGCTTCTGGACCTTTGTGTGATTCTCTCCACCTAAGTCATTGGGCCCCACCTGGCTCCTTTAGCACCTGGGTGCTGGGTGGCAGCTCCACTCTCTGCTACTGCTGCTGATTGCCATTTGCAGGGCAATTGGTGGGGTGATTGGGCCCCCACTCTCACCTGCCTTGGCCTGACACTTACCTGCTCACCTACTCCACTATCCAACCACGGTCCTGCTCTCGTCAGGGCCCATAGGGCCGGCAGCACCTCTGCTGCCACCCGCTGCCAGCGCCACATCGCTGATGCACGCCATGTTCCGCTCCACCCCCTGGTGGTCAATGCATATCATAACGAGCAGTCGAACTCCTAGTCAAGGGAATAATTTGTATATTAGGTTTTTATTATATAGGATGGAATTTCTTTAAATGTGGGTTTTCTCACTTATTCCATTTTGAACCTCAACATATTATATGGATGAGAAATTTTAGCTTGAGACATACACAGACATTGCTGTTATTTATTGCTTAAAGTGGTTACGTGGTTGACTCTGCAAAGCAGTTTATAATTATTTTTGGTGCTATGATCTCACAATTCCAAATATTGGGAAACTTATAAACAAGCCTTTTGCGATGTCTAGAACAATAACTTGTAGTGATCATAAATATACACATATAGAATAGATTGAAAAATACAGTAAAAAGTATAATGTTATGAAAATAGATACTTGTGACTGAGGATTAAATTTCCAGTTCCAGCTACAAACAAACATGATTCAAAATGTAAAAGTCAAGAAACTTAGATAGACCAAGGCAAAAATGATACAATTGGAAAAACATCAGATGGAGGAGAAAGTGGCTCTATTTAAACAAAATTGAATGCTGAAATGGGAGGCTTTTAATTAAACTATTATACTAGCCATGAAAATGGAATATTAGCTATGTATTTAAACTTATATATAATTTTATAAATGTTATTTTAAAATACATATAAGTATATTAAGTATTATAAGTAGAAAGTTAATTGTTTTATTTACATTCTCAAGTCTTCAGTTTTACAAAAAAAAATTTCTTTGGGACTTCTCATTTATAAAATGGAAGCCTCCTCATGTTTCGAGCTGCCTTATTTGGGTTTTAATAGGGCAGTGTTCCAGGGTAAGTCCTCACTGGTACTGCGTTTTCATACCCTGCGCCTGCCTTGTACCTGAATGCTTACTAGTAAGACAGAATGGCTTTTTTTTTAATGCAAAAAAAAATAAATGAAATAAAAAGCCATTCTGTTGACACTAGTGGATAGGGTCATAAATTTGTGAGCTCTTATGCCCTGTGTTTTTGTGTTTTAGGTAGGTGGGACAAAAACCAGGCCTTCCATAAATCACCAGTTCCAGTTATGGTACTCTAAGTTACCACAAGTCTGAATATTTGTGTCTATGGATCTGCTCTGACTCTTAGAGCCGCTTATGGGGGAAGGTGAGTTGCTGTAAAGTATCTTTTTTTGCTCATTTGTTTGTTTATCAAGAATGTATGTAACAAAGCTGATTCATCTTTACAAAGGAAATTTGTTCCATGTGGTCCAATCTGCATTTTAGTTTCTTTAGTTCGTGACAGGGTGTCAACTTGGAAATAGTGCCAGGAAGAGAGACAGACCATGAAAGGGAATGTTTAACAAAGAAAGACAATCTAGCTCTGGCTGATATTGCTCTGTGGTTAGAGCATAGGCCTGAACACTGAAGGATTGTAAACTCAATCCCCGGTCAAGGACACATTCCTCAATTGCAGTTTCAATCCCTGGCCTGTTCAGGGCACGTGTGGGAGGCAACCAGTTGATGTGTGTCTTTCATATCTCTCTCTCTTTCTCTCCCTCCTTCTCTCTCCTTCTTCCTCTCTCCCTACCACTCTCTCTAAAAATCAATGGACAAAATATTCTCAGGTGAGGGTTAACAAAACAACAACAGCAAAAAAGAAGACAGAAAAAAGAAAGGCAATGGATGCAATGATTATGTGGGAATCTCTTGCCAGGTCACATGTTGCATTGACTTGGCATTTAAAGAAACTGGTCTGGTTTGCAGGAGCAGATCAATGCTGAGTCAGAAGTATTTTTCCATGGCTCTTTCCTTTGAATTTTTGACAAGCATGGGAATCCTTTGGACTAATTTCCCCTTAGAGTTCCCTGTTTTTACTCTGCAGATCTTCATCCTACTATTTTGTAAAGAATGCTGGGTGGGGAATCTGAAGAGTTGGGTGAATGAGCAGGAGAGTATGTGTGTGTGTAAACGTATGTGTGTGTATTCGGAGGGAAGAACATGTGTGTATGGGCATAAGAATGTGTATGCATGTGTGTAGGAGCATGTGAGCATGTGTGCCAGTGTGTACAAGAGTGTGTACACTTCAATGGAGCACATGTATAGAAGCATGAATGCATAATTTCAGAAGTTTATGTGCGTGTGTGTTCGGGTATAAGATTATGTTCACATGTGTGCAGAAGTATGTGTTCTGTGTACTGCTTGCTCCAACTTTCTGAGGTCCACATTCTCTCTGATGAACCTCAGGGTTCTGAGCCTGCAAGACTGACTTTCTCTGGCCTTCGTTTCTACCTGTAAATCAAGCCCTCAGAGGTTTTTTTCTGCAGCTCACATGCCTCAGTACTCTCCAGCCCAGTTCTAGATTATTCCCCATGAGTTTTATATTATGAGGCTCTGCCAAAGCCTTAAGATGCTTTATTCACCTATAGCCATAATAGTGGTGGCCATGGGGAGTCTGCTTCAAGCTGTTCCTTGTATTAATTCAGATTCCCAACACAAACATTCCATAAGTTCTGAGTTACGTATTTCTCAGGTGCTTGTCTCAGAAACATGTGCATTTTAAGAAGTCACAAGACTTAATACGGACCCTGTAAAGTACTTGTAAAGTCTCTGAAGGTTTGCCATTCCTCTTAGCACCAGCTTCCTTGCCCACCCTGCCCAGATGCTGTCTGTCTGGTTTTGGTGTGTTTTTTTGAATTGCAGCTCAGCATTTTTAATCCTGTGGTGCTTGACCCAATTCTGTAAGCCTGTGTCCTATGTTGTTTTGATCTTTGCTTTGTTCCTTTGTCCATGGAGGAAGGTTAAAACCATTTCAGCTTCCAGGTGTCTGTGTCAGCTGCATGTCAGTGACTGGTCACAGCAGACTACAAGTCCCTTCTGAGTTTGAAGAGGAGCCATAGGAAATGGCTCCTTTCACATGACTGGCATAGCCCAGGCTGCAGTCAGGAATGAGGATGGTTATGTAAACCAGAGCTGGGCTGACCAGAGTTCTGAGGACACATGTGGAGAATAGGCTGGGAGCACCCTCAGGCTAGGATTCCACCATCCCCCATTTTTTCTCAATCTCTGGGCCACACATCCTCATCTCCTTTGTAGTCCCTGCACCCTCAGCTTTCTCTTCAGCTGGTTACTTTGGTCCTTCCTGTCCCTTTTGCACACTGCTTCCTTTCCTCTCATCTTTTCAAGGGTTTGGCTCCTGCCTTACTTCCCCTCTCTGCTTCCACCATGTATGAACACATGGGCATGCTCTTTGGTGGCACGCTCACTTGCAGTAACCACCCATCTTTGTTCCTTTGACAACTGGCCTTGCTGTCATCACTTGTTCGTCTTGAACCAGACCTGCCTTGTCAAGATTCACAGATCTGCCCCTGCCAGACCCAAAAGTTGGTTTCCGGTCCTCCCTCACAGTCTCTCAGTAACACTGGATGCTATCAGACACCCAGTGGGCAAGAGTGTGGGCCCTTGATGTCCTGGGCATTGCGACCCTAAGCAAGACATGAGTGACTGTGCTGCTGTTTCTGGAAGAATAAGAGCAGATCCTACATGGAGAGCTAATGGGAGGAGTGAGTCATGGTGCCAGACAAACTACAAGGCTGTCTTAATGGTCACTATTAGCATTTTCCTCCTCTGCTTGAATGCTTACTGTTGATGTCCTCAGGACTTGGCTCAGTTGGGCACCGAGGACAGAGCCTGCCCCAGGGTGAGAGGTGGGGCACAGAGAATTCAGCTGGCTGAGCCACTTTGTCACTATGTATGAGAGCTTCAAACACATGTATCCTTTAACCCAGAAATTATAACTATAAACATGTATTCCAAGGAAATAAGAGAAGGACATGAAGAGGTACACCCAAAGATTATTATTAAAACATTGTTTAATGTAACAATTCAAAAACCTGGATACAAAAACATTGGTTATTTTCTTATGCATAAAAATGCATAAAATCTTATGCATAAAGTAGAATGCCTTGGGAATTTGATCACTGTTATTTAGATTTAAACATATTGACATAGGAAAATATTTTGTATATAATAGTAAATGAGAAAAAGAGGACAATCATGGGTGGTTTGGTCCTATTTTTGTTAAAAATATAGTAACACGCACCTATTGGAAAAAAGTCTGAATAGATAGACTTCACAAATATGTCATTATCCCTGGTAGTCTTTTGGGTATTTATAGGCTATTTTTTCAAAAATGCATTTTTCTATTGTTTTCTATAATGAGCATCCAATACTTGTGTTATTCATTTATTTATTTACTTTTATAATTTTAACAAATTTATTGGGGTGACATTGGTTAATTTATATAGGTTTCAGGTGTACAGTTCTATAATATATTATATGTATATTGTATTGAATAGTTGTGTTAAGGTTTTTTCCTCTAAGGAACAGAAAGGCTGACCTTGGTCAGTGATACCTGCATACGCCATCCGCTTCTTTCTGTGTGCCTTTGCTGATGTGAGAAAACCACCACATAGTTTGTAGGTGTGCACAGTGGCCAGCTCAGTGCCCCTTGGCCAAATGCACACCTGTCCTCACAGCCAGAAAGTACACTCTGCATCCATGTTTTTACCACTGTCTGATACGTGTTTTATCATTTATTTGTGCCTGATTTTGTGTGAGGTGATAAGATAGGTAATAACTCAGTAAAAGATGGAGCTAGAGGGCAACCTTCTCCTGCTTGGTGAAGAAGTACCTGTCCTGATGGGTGGACTAGTGTGCATTCTCTGTATTCTCTCTTGAGGTCCTGGTCCACCTTTCCATCCTACACTGCCCAGATCAGAGCCTTCACTTCTGGGTGGCTCTGAAGGACGCACAGGGTTCATCAATAGCTGAGCTTCTGTGTGCGGCTTGCTTTTAGGACTGGACCTGGAAGCTCTAGATCACAATGAACAAAAAATGGTAAAGACGAAAATTCACTGTTGGTCTGTTTCAAGTCCCTCCTCCTGGTGACCCTGCAGTCCCGGGACCATGCCCGTTATTCGTAGGTAGGACCCGCTTCATGTGAGGCCCGTTCACAGCAGACAGCTGACAGCGGCAATGACAGCTCAAATCTTAGAGCTGCATTTTGATTAATATTGGTCCATGAGGTCCCCCCACCCACCCCTTCCTTTCTAAGGGCTTAGCTCCTGCAGGCATTTGTGCGGTGGCTGCTGTTTGGGGGAAGGAGTCATTGAAATGACAGCATCCATGCCAGGCGCACCCCTCCAACAGAAGGAGGGGAGTTGGGCAAAAAGTAGGTCACATGTGCCTGGTCACATGTCACGAGGTTTCCAACCTGAGGCCAATGGGATTGTAGCCTTCTTTGATTTAGAACAAAACACCACTCTAATTTTTTCTTTCTCTAAACGGGGAGAGTGACCATCTGTCTGATAGCCACATCCACCCAGCCCTGCCTGACCTCATAGCCGCTGTGTTCGGAGGTAAGGGGTTGCTAGACTCACTGGCCAAGGCTCACTCCACACAGAGCCCATGGTGCCCAGGACGAGAAGTGGGGAGGGTACAGGTCATCAGGAAGTGTCGGGAGGTCCTGCTGCAGCAACACAGTCCTTTGCTTAGGGATGGGAAAATGGACAGGGTGTCATACTTATAGATATTTCTAGACGTTCAGATAGTATTCAAGTGGGGTCCTTTATTTCAATAATCTGGTTCTTTTTTAAGGATCAGTGTTAACTATTAGCACTCTAATGATAAAGTGTTATTATGTAGAAAAATGAATAAGTAATTTTACAGATGTTTGTTGTCAACGATACTGGGGTAAATGTGTAAATATGATTCTCATGCTCAGAAACATCGGCCATCGCTGTGGGTTGGGGCTCTGTACTCTCAGTGTGGTGAGCGCCTTTGTTTGGGAATGTCAATCTCTCAAGGAAATAGGTGAGCTGTTGGCTTCCAGTAGTGTGAACATACAGTAAGATCTACATATCAGAATAAGGATAATACTTCTATATTACTATTGGACAACATGCACTTTTGGAGTTCAAACATATTTGAGAAATAACATACTTGTTTTTGTCTCTGGGAAGGTCAGTGAATATGATTGCTTTGTGATAAAGCAGATGTGGAACATATAATAGTTTAAAAGTGTTTGTAAAACTAACCTGAATTTTTTAGCTTATAAAGAACAAAAAAAAAAATTGGGGGGGGGGTCCTGTCCTATAAATGATCTAA